GGATATCCTCCTCTCGGTCCAAGATTTCCGGCAAAGATATTTGTACACATGGATTTTTTTTGAGAAAATTTCTATGAATGTTTCACCCTGTTTAACTGTCTCGCATTCAATCTCTTGAGTTTCATACATATGAACTTTGCTAATTTTGGGTTGACTATCAGTCTTAGTAGTTCGCCTTCTTTGTATATCTTTGGTAATCCGTGGGCTGTTGGTGGTCGTGCATTCTTTCTTATTATTGAATTTTCGTCCATGCGTCAATTTCCCAGTTCATATGCATAGCTTTCTGCATATCATTTAAGATTCCATTGATCTTCATAGTTGGGTCCTTGTTAAGTATACGATATGTGGTCCTGTCTCGTAGAATATATTAAATCTCCTCGGTTTATTGTTTTTTGTCCATTATCATTGTTGCTCCTTCTTTATCCGCCTGAAGGACTAATTGTTCATTCGTTTCCAGGGTCTTGCATATCCTGGCAAATCTCTTCATGTGTGTGTCAAGATCATTGGAATTAGTTCCATCTCTATTTTCCGTTTTGGTTCATCAGGTAACCTTTTGGAGTTATCTACAACCTCCACCAGGATGTCTTCTAGAAGACTTCTGTCATTTTGAATTGAAAAGTTGAGTCAAGTAGCACGGGTTTAATCTGAAGGTTTGAGAAGTAGCCCTTGGATTAAAGGTGCGCTGGGGCTGGAAGCGATTGAAATTGGTCAGGCAGCAAAAGGAGAAACTGACCTACGAGCCCATGCGTATGATCTGGGCAGGAGACTAGAGAAGGATCAGCCACTCGAAAGGGAGAGGAGCAAGGCAAGCAGCAGGTGTGATGAGACCACGGTAACTTCGCCATAATGGCACATCTCTTGTGGAATATAAACATGCCAGAAGTTGTGATAGGACGAGGGTGAGACAAGAGGGTGGGAAATGGATAGAGGAGCCAGAACAGAATTGACGAGTGATGGCGTAACCGTCTCGACAGTAAGTTGGTCAAGGGATTGACTTCACTTGTCTCTTTGGTAGCTGAATGTGGTACTAAGATTGGCAAGGCTCACTGAAGATGTCGGCGAAACGTCTTGGAATGTACCAAGTCCACGGTCTGACTCTTGAAATGATCATGCATACTATGGAATCTGGACAAGGTCGCCAGTCTTTCAATACTTTATCTCCTCTAATACATATATTTACTGGTAGTGTTACAAGACTACTTATACTTAAAATATAAGTAGTGTAGTCTATTTTAATAAAAAATACAAATTCGTTTTGTCGACAATTCCACAACTGGAATGGGATATCGGTAGGGCCTAGTCCTTTTCGAAATTCACCTTCACAAGCGTTGCATCCTGGCGTAGTGGTTAATGTTAAAGACTATAAACGACACTACCACAAACCAGGATCGAGTCCCGCTAGGGTTGTTAAGGTGAGCCGTTCTGATGAGATAAAAACTGTAATGCACTCCCGTCTATATGGAAAGACCTTTAGCGAAGCAAGGATATGTGAATTTGAATAGAAATGTGAGGCCTTCTTATCTGATTGTGGGTCAATTCAAAGAGCAGTCTTTCACCACCTTCAGCAAAATAGGGGAATACATCTCATATGACTATTAAAAAACTCTGTCCATTTGCGTACATGCAAGATTATTATTAGCCTTCACAATTAAAACTTCCTACCTAATCTTTCATTCCTTAATCTCCCAAAGCAAAAAAGTGTGATTACATCTTAAATAGATGAATAGCTGAACAGAAAGATATAGAACTGGATCAGGCAAGAAATATGTAGAGTGTATATTTACTTACTTGGCGGCCCCTTAATGCTTGGGTGTGGTGGAGGAGGCGGTGGCGTGCTAATGCCTTTTCCGAGACCTTGAGAAAAAGTAAATACAAAAAATTAATTACCGCTTTATTTTGGCAATTTTAAGAAGATAAT